GATCAACAAAAAGAAATGAATATAGAAGAGAGCATTGATGTGGGTAAAAAGGAGGAAGAAGAAAGTGAAGAAGATGGTCTTGGTACTCAACTTCGGTAAGACATGAATGAAGAAGAGAGAGAGGAGGTTGAAGAATAGTATGAAGATGATTTGGGGTTAATCCGGGTTAGTCTTCCCAAAGAGGTCATTTACTTTGAACATGGAAGGTCACTCAACCTTGAGAGACTCCTAGCATTATATCCTTTTGCATTAAATCTTTGTCGAGACGAGACCAAGACATCATCAATCCCTCTCGGTAGATCCCCTGACCCTTTGAGGATGCTTGATTTGGTTTGAGGCAAAGAGAACAAGAGAAGAGTTGAAGAGAAGTTTCATTGGAGGTGTCTCAACTCAAGTATTCTCGTCTACATGAGCCTTCACCGAATGATCGGAAGATCGATCGAGACTTGAGAATCCACTTTTCCGTTGAAAACCTTAACTTCAAGGAGGTTTTGAGCTAAACTAAATACTTGAAATCAATCGTCTGACGATAAGGCGTGAAAGATGCGCTAGTTGGGAGGCACCCCTTCATCAGTTTGCCTTTTCTTCTCCTTAAAGTTTATTTTTTTTCCTTCGTATTTTGCATGTGTTAGGTAAATTTAGAGGTGGTGTAGGTGATAGTGAATGACATTTCCTTAGTTAAGAATGAGTTTTAATGGACTATGGTGAAATGATGAATGATGAATGATGAAATGCTAATATATTTCAAGTTTAGGTAGTTAATGATCTTGATTGATTGGTTCTATTGATATCATGTCAATCTAGGGGTTTTACTGCCATGCCCGAAGGCAATAAACAACCTAAATGACTAAGGTAAGGCTAAGGGCATGGATCGATTTCTAAAAAATTATATCAAAGAGGTAAGCTTAGATGAGCAAAGGGGACATACACCCTACACCAACCAATCAAAATTCAAAACAACATGTCAAACATGCTTTTATGGGTCTAACAAGCATTGAAGTTCATTTGTCATTCATCAAATCGTTACAAGCATAAATTATGTGGTTTGGGAATTTTATTGAGCACTTGGTGGGCGAAAATAAAATCATCTAGAACCATGCAATTCATGCCCATCAATTCCTCCAAATGACATATATTCCTTCATAAACATGCAACACACAACAATATATTAATGTAATCATCTCGATGCTCGTCAATGTAAACGTCTGTTGTTTCTCCTTGAGGACTACTAGGAGGTGGCTAAGTTCATACTATAGCATGGTACATTGTAGAGGATCGAGATGACTACGACTTTGCTTTGTGGGATACATTGTAGAGGATCGATTGCATGACCATTGAGTTGATCCCCACTTCGTGACCTCCACACCTCAAGATACCATTAGATTATCACCTTTCACAACCTATAGCTAGAGGGAATCAACCCTAGACCACCATCTCATCTCTAGTGGTCCCCCAACCACTTGGTTGGTTGTTTAGTTAGTTAGGTTAGGTTAGTTCTACCCCCAACCTTTCAAGTTGATTAGATATTAGTTTGGAGCGAAGGAATAGGATCGAACCACTTTACTACATCTCTAGCATAGTTATACTTGGATTTGTTAGGATAGATGTGAGTGCGCTTCGACCTTACAAATTCTAAAGCTTACACATCATCAAGAAGCCACAAACTTTCATTTTGATCACAACTTTGTTGCCCACTGGAACACATTGGCTGCTGCAATATAGATTGGGTTTCCTCCCAGATTTTCCTTAGCTTGGTATAGAAGCTAGAGTAAGACTTTTTTCTTGCTAGAGAAAGCTTACGTGCCTACGTAGTTCATACACTCACGTCAAATTCCCTTTGCTAAAACAATCTCGAAGACCTTTCCTAATCTCCTCTGCGGATGTTAATTACATATATAACGCTGTTGCGCAGCTCGACGTCCATGGTTGTCCGCAACCAGCCCTTCACGAGGGAATCACAACTTACCCACGCATGCGACAGTTGTGTGTTGCCTTATGTGCAAGAGATTGTTTCGTTGACAAAACCCAATTTTTAACTTAGTGACCAAGGCATCCTTTATCTCAAGGATCCATTCGCTGTAATTTGAGGAGTTAACATACTACTACGTGAAGGTAGCCTAACCTGTAGAATTGGTGATGAAGTAGGGACTGTGCACATCAATATCTTTGTATCACGAGCCTGAACTTATTGACTTCAACGATGTTGGCATCTTAAGGCTTGAATCACCACTAGTCATACTGTTGCTTCGATGTGGATCAGAATTACAACTCTTACACTATGAAAACTATGAAGAATCAATAGAATGAGACAACGATTTACGTTGTATCCCCGATTGATGAGATTAGTCTAGGAGAGAGCTTTGCTCTTCGGGTTGAATTCTTATTGATTGTACTTAGTTATGGTCGACATCCTTACATGCTCCTTTATACCCTTTGCTACATACACCTAGGGTAATAGTACAAGGGCAGTCAAACAAAGCACATGAGTGGGCCATAGTGCTAGGCTTGTTATGAGTAGCTCAGCTGGGCTCTCGACTAAGCTTTTGGCTCAGCCTGTGTTGGACCAGGTTAGTAATTAGCTAAATTAATTTACTGAAAATCAATTTTTTATTGATTAATCAGTTATCGGTGTAACATAGGGGTGGAAGTTTGGGTTGCGGGTTGTGGATAACCCGCAAACCGCACCAACCCTCACTCATTGTGGGTAACCATACCCACAAGTTGTGGGTAGTAAAATAATAATTTTTGTGGTTAGTGGTTACCCACTATCCACCGTGGTTAACCCAAAAAATCCACAATAACCACACTAATTATATTTACTTACTAAATTGACTTTATAATATAGTAGTATGTGAAAAGTGGGAGGCTAAAAATTAAATTAGCCACCAAAATCAAATATGAACCTAATCAGTTTTATGTGAGAATTTTTTGGTTTATAAAACACTATAATCGAGAGAGTGGAGAATAATCGATTCATTACAAGTGGACAACTTTAGTAACTTTAGTTCAGAGGGTTCAAGGAGATATTAGAGTTGTGGTTGAGTCTTCAGTTGTGTGTTTATTCTTTTGAGTGATTAGTTTGGTTTTTGAGTGTTCCAGGGCTTGTTCTCCCTACTGCTCAGCTGGCAGAGCTGTTGCCAGCAGTGTACTTGGTTCCTTTTTTGATGAAATGAAATCCCTACCGCTTCATCAAAAAAAAAAAAAAAACTTTAGTAACTTTTATCTGCGTGTTTTTACTTTTGTGTGAAAGAAAATACAAGATTATATTTAATTGTCATATTCGGTGAAATATGAAATCACAGCTCCCCGACACAAAAGTTGAATACCAAACTCGAAAAGAAAAAATCTCCACGTTGACTAAGATCGATATACAAAAGTTGTATCTCCACGAACAACACAATTGTATATCAATATAGACTAGCTGCGAACAACAAATACGTCAGTGACGGCCTCAACTCTATGCTTGCAAAGATGGATTTTTGCAGGTAACCACACCCAACCCGCACCAACCCGCTGTGGGTAATGGTTACCCACTAACCACTGAGGTGCGGATTGTGGGTAGCATAATTGTAGATTTGTGGGTGTGAGTATCCACAAATGTGGGGCGGGTAACCACACCCACCCCAATTTCCACCCTAAGTTCCACCCTAAGTGTAACCTTAAGCCACCAATTCTGGTTCAGACATGATAACCGATACCGAGTCGAGTAGGGGTGGGCATCCGGTTCGGTGAACCCGAACCGAACCGGACCGAACCGATTTCAAACCGAACCGAAACCGAAATACTCTTATTCGGTTCGGAATTCGGAAGAGAAATAGGTGTAATTCGGAAACCAGGTTCTTATCGACCGAACCGGATTTCCGAATTCCGAACCGACAAACCGAAAATATACTCTTCTTACAAATATCAAGGCTCATTTCACAGCCCAAAACTGCCCCCTCACTCAAGCCCACCTGTCCCCAAACTTCAGCCCATTGCCTAATCCCCTAAAAGCCTAGCTAAGCTCCAACCCTCTCCACACTCAAGTCTAAGCCCAAATCTCTTCCCCTCACACTCATAGCCCACCCAAAAGCTCCCTGATATCCATTAACCCTAACGAGGGAAGAAAGAAAACCCTCTTGTCCCTTCCCCTTTCTCCCTTGGCGGCTCCACCTCCTCTCCCAACTCCACCAACTGACCAGCCGACTTTCTCTTCTCTGCCGACGGCCGGAGCTAGTGTCTTCTCCACCTGAATAGAAACGGAAACGATGCTACCAAAAAAAATATGCATGCTTGGATCTGAAATCATGCGAACCTTCGTCGTCGAAGTCGTCACCGCGCCGTCGTCAATCGCTGCTGCCGCCTGCCTTCGTTAATCGCCGCTGCCGCCTGCCTTCGTCCGTCGATCTACCTTCTTCCGTTTTGAACCCTTAAAGATTCACGGCAGAAGACAGAGAAGAGATCTACCTTCTTCCGTCGCGGTAGCTGCGTTGTGCTCGCCGGTCGCCGCCGCCTCGTCAGGCATCAGCTGGTTGGAGGGGAGAGAGAGGGGGGAGAGTATCGTCGGTCGCCGCCTCGTCAGTTGGTTGGAGAGGGAGAGAGGATTTGATGAGATCAAGGATAAGTGAGAAGGGTAAACGCCTGATCCGTTTTGGCATTTTACCAAGCAGCAGGCACCAAAACGCAGGAGTCAGAAGGGGAAACGCACGCAGCCGACAAATCCGGTTTTGGAGGGGAAAACGAATCGAACCGATTTATAACTCGGTTCGGACAGACCGAACCGAATTATAATTCGGTTCGAATTCGGTTGCCCTCATGGCTGGAATCGGAAATCCGGTATAGGTCTGTTCGGTTCGGTTCAAACCGAACCGACCGAATGCCCACCCCTAGAGTCGAGGGCAAAGTAATAGAGAGGGAAGAAACGCTGCGGTCCGGTCTTTTGTGTCCCTCTCTTTCTATTTGTTTCTGAAAACAATTTTTTTGGTGGGATGTTTCTGAAAACTTCATTTCTGCAGGCTCCAGCAGTGTCTGTCTTCCTTATAATTTCTTAAAAAACCTTTTCACTTATCTTTTGGATTTTTATTTTTCTAAAACTCTTACAATGCCCTCACTGAGAGATCACTGTTTTTGTTAATGTCTCTCCCCACCAAACGCTCTGCCACTGCTGCTGCTCCTCCCACCACCACCTTCTCCACCGCCGCCGGCTCCTCCAGTTTCCCGCCGATGAAGAAGGCTAAGTCTCAGGCCGTCTCCGCCTGCTCCCCTCTTGATCCCTCCTCCAACAAAAACGGCCTCCACCACTTCACCGCTCCTAATTCCGACGATAACGATATCCTCTTCGAGCCTTCCTCCATGTCCCTCGACGATGAGCCTAAGCTCGTTGACGCCGTTCCTCCCACCGCCGCTAATTTGTCACGCAAAAAGGCCATCCCTCCCCAGCCGGCCAAGAAGCTTGTCATCAAGCTCCTTAAAGGTACAAATTCGCCCCCCTTACTTTTTTCGTGTCGCAATTCGAGGCGGAAAATGGGGTAATCTCTTCTTTCGGTGTACAATTAATTAAGGGTTTTTGCTCCTTCCTTTGGAGAGATAGTTCGATTAGCTGATTGCTTGTGTTTGGACTCGGGAATTGACCTGGGCAAAATGCTGAAAGGCTGATCTTTGCTTTCTTCTACGGATCCGTGCCGGCAGCATTCCTTCCTTACCGATACTGCCAAGTCATTGGTTTGTGTATCGTTCATTTGGGCTTGCTGCTCAGTTAATTCAGCATAGTCTAAACTTCGTTTCAGTTAGGGTTTTGTTAAACTGTGCAACTTCGTGTCATTTAGGACTGTCTGCTGTTAGGTTTTAGATACTTTGTTATGCATGAGATGTCAAAGGGAAAGCTACTCTTCCTTGAGCGGAGTTTCCATTTGTTATACTTTGGTTTTTGTTGCAATAGAGCCTGGCGTTGGCATAGTTCATTGATGTGATTAAATGTGGAAATGAACCTAGCTTGGGGTATTATTTTTCTCCCCATGTCAACTTTTCATGTATTTACTTCATTTATAGCTGTTAGCTCACAGTAGTATGAGTGGCTTAGGACTGGTTTGTCTCCTTAGTTTTAATTTGCTATGTTATATGCGCATAGAGACAGTGGATTGGGTTTACTGACAAGAACAGGCATTAGGCATCTTAGTGGCAATTGTTAGCTCTGCTAATTGTATTTTCAAAGAAGTTATAATGTGATAGATATTCAATTTGAGGGTCTCTTATGCCTGTACAGTTCTTATGTCTGTACAGTCTCTAATACAAAACACTTGGCAGACAGCCTTCTAATTCATGTCTCATGGTTGAATTTTGTATTTTATTGCCATAATGAAGCTAAACCCACATTGCCTTCCAACTTCGAGGAGGATACATGGGCGATGCTGCAGTCAGCAATTAAAGCTATATTCTTAAAGCAACCAACTTCTTGTGAACTGGAGAAACTTTATCAGGTGCAGGATCCTACATGCTTATTCTTTTGTTAATAAATATATGTAAGTTGTCATGATTACCTTTTTTTGGTTAATGTTAATTTGATGTCTTGATTTGCAGGCTGTCAATGATCTTTGTCTGCACAAGATGGGGGGAAGTTTATATCAGCGTATTGAAAAGGAGTGTGAAGCACACATTTCTGCAGCCCTACAATCCTTGGTTGGCCAAAGCCCAGATTTGCTAGTCTTTTTATCACTCGTTGAGAGATGCTGGCAGGACTTCTGTGACCAGATGCTGATGATTCGGGGGATTGCGCTGTATCTGGATAGAACATATGTTAAACAAACCCCCAATGTGCGGTCTCTATGGGATATGGGATTGCAACTTTTCCGACGACATCTTTCATCATCTCCTGAAGTTGAGAACAAAACAGTAAACGGCCTTCTGCAGATGATTCAAAGAGAACGGTACTTCAAGTTTTTCTTTTTCATGTGTTTTGAGATTGGCAGCTGTCAACTAAGTTGAATGTGAACTGGTTATCTGTCTGTTGTGTCTCTCTGCTAATTTGCCATGTTTCCTCCTATGGATTAGATAACTCTTCACCCAAATCTATGGTGGGTCCAATGAAATGTCAGTGAAACTACATATAATTAAGGAATACGAGTGATATGCTATTGCTTGCTTTTATGAATTTTCAAAGTGGTTGACGCATTAGTCTTACACCTGTAGTTTGCAATCTTCATGTTTGAACAATCAGGAGTACATAATATTGGATCATGAAGCTTTGTCAAATATTAAAGCTGCTGCATTGTTAGTCTATGGATTGATGTTGATCTGTTAACTTTATTAGATATGGGATTTTGATTTTGGTGAAAAATCAAATTTGGGCTTACACGTCTATTTTTGGTCTGTCAGATTAGGTGAAGCAGTTGATAGGACACTGCTCAACCATCTTTTGAAGATGTTTACAGCTCTTGGAATATATCCAGAGAGCTTCGAGAGACCTTTCCTTGAATGCACTTCTGAATTTTATGCTACTGAAGGCATGAAGTACATGCAGCAATCAGATGTTCCAGATTACTTGAAGCACGTCGAGGTACTTCAGTTTTTTTATTAATAAAATATCCAGGTGTATTGGTGGTGTGGCTTTGGGATTTTCTGCAGGTTCATTATAAGCTGTGCATTCCTGCAGATAAGGTTGCATGAGGAGCATGAAAGATGCTTACTTTACCTTGATGCAAGCACTAGGAAGCCTCTAATAGCAACTGCGGAGAGGCAGCTTCTTGAGCGGCATATATCCGCTATTCTTGATAAGGTGCTGCTATATTTGAAGTTTTATCTTGGTAATGTGTGCTGGGTGTCTTTGTGCCGTCAGTAATCAATATTTCGCCATTTAGCAGGGTTTCATGATGCTGATGGATGGGCATAGAATTGAAGATCTCCAGAGGATGTACTCCTTGTTCTTGAGGGTCAATGCCCTTGAATCATTAAGGCAGGCCCTTAGTTCATATGTTAGGAAAACTGGGCAGACCATCGTTATGGATGAAGAGAAGGACAAGGACATGGTTCCATCTCTATTAGAATTTAAGGTGTCTCTGGACCGAATATTGGAAGAAAGCTTTGCCAAGAATGAAGCATTTTGCAATACCATCAAGGATGCTTTTGAGCATCTGATTAATCTTCGCCAGGTTGATATGCCCTTCTTGTTGCCTTGTGCACATGGATTGATGGCAGTCATAATTAATGGATGAAATTCTTTGGTCTCCAAATTAGGTTAAATTTTTTTATTTAATTTTGTGTGCAATCATGATAGATATTTACCAGTTCTTGCTGTTCTTATTGCCATTGATTTTCTGTATTTATCTACTTCTTTTCACTGTTTGATTATATGGTAGCTATAGCTGTTTATAACTTGACCTACTTCCAATTTCCTGACTAACCATCCAAAGTTCCTACCCGCAGAACCGTCCAGCAGAGCTGATTGCTAAGTTTTTGGATGAGAAGCTTCGTGCCGGGAATAAGGGTACTTCTGAAGAGGAGTTGGAGGGTATACTTGATAAAGTTTTAGTTTTGTTTAGGTTCATCCAGGGGAAAGACGTTTTTGAAGCATTTTACAAGAAGGATCTTGCAAAACGACTATTGTTGGGGAAAAGTGCGTCCATTGATGCTGAGAAATCTATGATATCTAAGGTATGCAATTGTTGCATCTTGCTGCATTTCATTGGATATCTACTGCCCATTGATATTAACAATCTTCACTTACTAGTGCAGCTCAAAACTGAGTGCGGGAGCCAATTCACTAATAAGCTTGAAGGGATGTTCAAGGTATACACATTGCATTAATCTGCCATTGTGGTTTTCTTCCTTTCTTTTTTCCTTTCCGATGAAGGGATATCATAATTTTTGTGACTTTTTTTTGTCTTATGTCACTCTTCTGCGACCTCGTGTATTAGGCTATTAGCAAGACTTTTTCAGTGAGGAACTAAATTGCACTATGAAGCTTCTTGAAGCTTGTGCATATTTAAGCTCTTAGACTTGGAGCCTTTCTATTCACTATCCAACCCTGATAGCCTCAGCATCTCTCTATCGATTGTGCAGGATATTGAGCTATCTAAGGAAATCAATGAGTCTTTCAAACAGTCGTCTCAAGCAAGAACGAAACTTCCATCAGGAATCGAGATGAGTGTCCACGTCTTAACAACTGGGTAGGTTGGATTGTGTCTTCATGGAATCTATGCAGAATTCTTTATACTCGCTTTATTAATGCTCAAAATATTTTTGTTGGTGCAGTTACTGGCCCACGTACCCGCCAATGGATGTCAGGCTTCCTCACGAACTGAATGTCTACCAGGTTTGATGTTTCACTTGCCTGACCAATTATTGTTGAAGGTGCATAGTCATGCTCGTAAGTGGGATTTTGACTGCTCATATTTCTTTCATGGCACAGGATATTTTCAAGGAATTTTACCTGAGCAAACACAGCGGGAGGCGATTAATGTGGCAGAATTCCTTAGGTCATTGTGTATTGAAAGCCGAGTTTCCAAAGGGGAAAAAAGAGCTTGCAGTATCTCTGTTTCAGGTCAGTTCTCCTGGTTAGAGAGATTAGCTGTTTGTGTTTGAGTCGATACCTGATGTCAAGCTGGAACAATTGATCTGTGAATTCACTCTGATATCTTTTGTGCTCGGAGTTGCAGACTGTGGTTTTGATGCTGTTCAATGATGCACAAAATCTCAGCTTTCAAGATATCAAAGATGCTACCGGTATAGAGGATAAAGAATTAAGGAGGACCCTCCAATCCCTCGCATGTGGGAAAGTTCGGGTACTGCAAAAGGTGTGTGGGTTGTCTTATCTTCTGCACCACCAGATAGTTATTGCTGTTTCTTGACATTAATTTTTATTAATCTGACCCTTTTTTTGCCAGACACCGAAAGGAAGGGATGTTGAAGATGGTGATTCGTTTATGTTCAATGAGACATTCACTGCCCCACTTTACCGCATAAAGGTATTTTGAGTTGCGACAAATGGTTGCCTTACCACCTGCCTGCTGAAATTGGTTAGTGCGTGAGGGCGTTTAGGCTGAGAGTTAATGGTGGTGTGATTGCAGGTTAATGCTATCCAAATGAAGGAAACCGTGGAGGAGAACACAAGTACCACTGAAAGAGTATTTCAGGATCGTCAATACCAGGTAAATCAATAAACCTCCATTGATATATGAGATGGGGCGTTTGGGTTGATACACCCATACTCACATCAGTGTGGATTTGCCTACTCCAGGTTGATGCTGCAATTGTTCGGATAATGAAAACGAGGAAGTTGTTGAGTCACACTCTCCTTATCACTGAACTTTTCCAACAGGTAAGTAATTTCTGGATTAAAAAGTGGGCTCACACTTTCTTGTTGAACCGGTGATCTGTAATGAACATGTTGTCTACTGCTGCTGCTATGTTATGGAACAGCTGAAGTTCCCAATCAAGCCGGCGGACTTGAAGAAGAGAATAGAGAGCCTGATCGACCGGGAGTACTTAGAGAGGGACAAGAACAACCCCCAACTATACAATTACCTGGCCTAACCTTAGAAATGCTTTATTTATTTATTGCTTAATACCAATCTTCTTTCTCTTTTTGTTGTTCTATTTCTCCTTTTGCTGTTGGTGAGGGACATTGAAGTGGCAGTCACCTCAGATATTACTGTACAGTAGTACGTTGTAGTGGATCCTTTTCTTTTGAATTGTCTGCTGCAGTGAACACCTGTAATTGTAAAATATACTCCCTTCCGTGCTCTCTTTTCCCGTTTAGCACCCTCGTTGATAACGGTGGATCAATTTGATGTTCCATTTCGGATTAGAATACAAGTGTAGGCTAAGTAAATCAATGGATAGTCTTGGTCCTCTTGAAAAACATATAGCGGGCTGCTTCGAGTGACACCACCCTACCCGTATCAGCAACCTGCAATGCATGATTTTGGAAAGAATATGTTGGGCGCCGGTGGTTGGTACACGGTGAAAATGATGCCTTCTCCGATAGGGAAAGAGGGAGCGAAAAAATTATGGTTCGTGAAACAATACAGGAAGGTCATATCATACTTGTTTGTGGTAGAGTATTTTGTAATATGATTGTGGTTTAACCCTACAAAAATATCATTTTTGTAATAATAAAAATATTATTTTTAAAAGATCGTATCGGCAAAATTAGGGTACCATTTCGGAGTAATACATGGATAAAACTGGAATATACTAGATAACAAACATGAATATGCTAAATAGGCATAAGTGACATAACAGTCAACAAAATACAACATTACAATATCGAATATACTACATAATCGTCCAAACTGATGTTTAGAAACGATCACAAAGTACAAACAACAAAACAACCAAACAAAGTTTACAAATCACAAGTTCACAACTACCAAACCCAAATAGAAACTACTACAACGTTCAGTAACTTCTAAACAACACCAAACGTAGAGAAGTCTACATTCTAGAACTCGTCCCCTTCATCTTCTTCATCACCAACTAAATAGAAGAGAAAATAAATAAGAATCATTATCATTTATTATTATATTATAATCCATATCATACATAATTGGTTCACCAACAAACCTTTCTCTTCTAATGCTCGATCTAGCTTATCAGTATCCAAATCTTTGTTCCTAGAAGATGGATCTTCTTACTCTACTGACAACAAATCACTAGTGATCAATGTTTCTAATACTTGTGGAATCATATGATTCTTTATTCTTCTTGGTATAATACTCGATAATCAAAGTAAAGTGACATAAAATAATTCAATTTAATAGTAAGCATAAAAAGTATCAATTAACTCACAAGTTTTATGATTCAAATCAAATGTATTATGCAATCGTAAGTTGTAATTCACGAATCCAAGTCACTAAGCATTTTGTGTTGCAATCTATTTTTTCTTTTGGTATGTACAAGTTCACAAAAAACTCCAATTATATATTCACAACAAGAACAAGTAGCAGTTTAGCTAATGATTCAAATAGCCAAATTACGATGACTTGGTGAATCAATGCCAAACCATTTTCACTACTTATCTACATATTAAGTATACATGTTAGTTTCTTAAATATTGTAATACATAGATAGGTAAATACATTTTATTAGCCAAACCTTTCAAACTTTTTAAATTATTAGATTAACCTTTTGAAATACAAAATATTAGATAAATCTTTTGTAATGCATCAAAATATTAACCATTTGTCTGTTACCGTTAGTACTTTTGTAACTCTTTTCTAAGTGAAAATACTAAAAATTTATGATGTTGACCTCCACGTGTCTCGTCCAAATGAGTATCATGTTGCCAACTCAATATTACTAACAAAACTAGTAACAGGAAATGAACATTTGGCTAATAAATTGTGTTTACCCTAATAGAAACATACTTCAATGCAAATAACATCAAGTATCTGGTTGTTGTTTCTATGCAAAATCTATTGCAAGCTTCCTCCCAAAGGGCCCTAAACGTTCAACATACATGGTCATCTCCCCACCACCATGTTTGTATCATTACATAAAGTTGAGTTCTCAAGAAGATTAAGAAGGTCATGTGTAACCATCCTATCATCCGTCCTATCATCAAAATATGATGAGGGCGAGAGGAGACTGCTCTAAGTGAAAGTTCAATCACTCGAAGCCAAGCAAAGCATTGAAAGCACAACTACAAGCGTATTTGGCTAAGAGTTTGCATCATTGGACCCTAAATTATTCGTGGGCCAAGAGATCACCATCATCTACATCCAAGAAGAAGAGACCAGCTTAAGAAAGGAATGAGATTACTTGAGGGTTAAGCATCTTTGATGTAAACACAAGGTGTGAATGGAACCTTTTGGGGCGGATTCCTACCTTGTTTCCTTTACCTTTTCGCATTTGGATTCTACCAACTATAGGAGTCGGATTTTTGCTTAAATTGTGGTCAGATTCATTGTTTTGTAACCTCTATAAATAGAGTAGGATTTGCATAATGGCTAGTCAGGCTTTTCCAATCGAAACACTAATTTTTGAGTGTTCATATTCGAACTTTTCAATTCTTTCTTACTTTGTTCATGTAATCGAACCAGCAAAAAGTCCCCGACTTATCAAATAGAAAATCACCCTAGTTGTGGCGTCATTTCGTATCTACCCAATTGTGATTTAGGTTTGAGTTGTTTTTCCATCCCGTTTGTGTACGTTGTGTTACTAACCATGTGTTGATTCGCATTATGCTTGCTTAAGTCCAATAGTAGGAGTCTCTGCTTATACCATGTGATATCAGAGCTCTGGTTCAAATACAGTGGCATACCTATCAACCTATCTTGTGCAAAAATCTACCAAACAGGTTTTGTGTTCTTAAACATCACAAGACGGTTTTGTTTTTCATTTCTAGAGTTGTTTAATTTTGTTATTGACTGTTTTTTTTTACAAGGCCATAAAATAAAAAAAGCGATTCGTAGGTTGGTACAATTGAAGGGCCTTTCTAGCCACCAAGTGGGCTATCCTATTACTACGCCGACCTACAAATCGCACACCAAGTCCACTATGTTGTTCCTGAGTGATAGTAACGTGCATATGTTGAAAAATTCATTCTAGAAAATACCAACAAAAAAAAGAGAAAAGAAAAGAAACACGTGCACAAAAGATCAAAGAATAGCTCGCAAAAGACAAGAACAAAGGCCAGATCACGCAAGTTTGTTTCATGATCGAGTTTTGTTAAGTCTTGGTCAAGTCTTGTTAGTTCTTTTTCAAAAGCTTGCTAGGGTTTGGGTTGAATCTTGGGGTTCTTGATTGACTCTTGTAAACTCTTGGTCAAGTCTTGTGGGTTATTAATCAAAACCTTGCCACGGGTTCAAAAGTGAGAGTGGAAAGAAGCTTCGTGAGTTCAATAAAGGATAAAAGCCAATTGTCTTGAGTGAAACACGAGTGGTAAGAAAAAGAGTGATCCTCAAACGCGTGAGGGAGTGCTTTGGTGAGGTCATTTCTTTGTACCATTCTTCTAAAACTTAAGCATTGATGGATATTACTTGTTTTGAGTTTGAACATCATGTCGGGAAAGGAAGTTGACACGCATAAGGTCCAAGACGAGGCAATGGAGATTCAAAACATGGAGGGCATTCCACGAGCCACCATGGAAGCCCTAGTTTGACATCTTACACACATGATGTGAACTCAACGTGACCAGCTTCATACTCGCCTCGATGAGATGGCTAAAGCCATTAACCTCCACAATAATGATGAGGAGGAGCACAATCGCCACCACGTGGGAGGCAAACTCAAATTCTAGGTAATGGTGGTCAGTATCAAGCTTTGAGGATCCCTCAAGTTGAAGGCCTTACGAGGAAGAGGTTGAGGCAGAGGAGACCTTGCTCAACCTCAAACTCTTACGAGTTCGACGAGGAAGAAGAGTTTCCCAACATAGAGATGATGACATGAGGGGGTTGAAGGTTAAAGTTCCTTCATTTTGAGGGAGGAGTGATCTAGAATTTACGCATAAAAATACCTAAGGCGTAGAATTTACCCCTTAAACTACTGACAATAGATTGAGTCGCCATTACGAACCTGGAAAGCATACATCAATCTAAACATAAAGCTAATGGACCAAACCATACAACTCCTCCCGTAGCAGAACCAAACCATACAACTCCTCCCGTTATGCTCCCCACTTGTAATTCACATGTGCATGAATAACCCTCCCGTTCCCAATGTTTCCGTCCAACCCATTTTAATTAATCTCTCACCACTTGCTGATAGGGATGGCATCGAAGCGGATCGGGGGACAGATACCTACCTCCCGATCCCCGCCCGTCAAAGCTGATGGATTTCCCCGTCCCCATCCCTGCAGGTTAAACGGGGGGATTATGTCTGGCGTCCCCGTCAACAAACGGATCCGGATAACCCACTAATCCCCACAGATCATGAACCAAAAAAAAGGGAAAACCCTGTAATTGAGTCTAGGATTTTTGCTCCCCCCCCCCCCCGGCCCCCAATCGAACAATGGTGTTATCAAACAAGAAGTTGAAGCAGAAGTTAAGAGAAGCAAATGTCGAATCTGTGGCTTCGTCAATATCGGGGAAATCAATAACCAATGCAAATGGAAATCAATAACCAAATCAAATCTGTGGCTTCTTCTGCGCATTAATTGTTGAGTTTCATCGGAGCCGGCATCATTAGAATTGATTAGTCATTTTTTTATAAATCATGAATGAATTGGTGGTATGGGGTGGTTTCTTCCTCCGTCTCTGTCATCGATGGTGCCACGACAGTCGCTACTACCATCAATGAAGATTCTTTGTTTCGCGTTTCCTAGGTTGCGGCGAAGAACAGCTCAATTGCAGCGAGCGAGCCAACTTCGACATGATTAGTTTACAGATTGAAATATTTATGGTTTTTTTTTGGGATTGTGATATTTCTATGCGGAGGTGGAGCTCTATTTCCGCTACTGTAGTAGATCGTCGACTGGTCGAAGCCCACGACGGTTGAAGCTCGCAATGTGCAGAGAGAGGTGCAAAACGAAATACAAAAAATTCAAAATGAAATTAAAAAAAATACTAGATTACTCGTCATCTTCCTCTCCTTCAAATCTATTCCAATTCTCGTCAACTATATTTGCTTGAAGTTGATGATTTTTGGACCTATCACGAATTCTCAAATGATTCCAGAGATACTCCTCATACTCTGGCAACCGATTTTGAGAAACTATAGGCATGGATACATTGAAATTCACCCCATCATATGTAAAATCAAAATATACTCTGGCAACCGAGTTTGAGAAACTATAGGCATGGATACATTGAAATTCACCCCATCATATGTAAAATCAAAATGGTGGAGATATGAATCTCGCTCATCTTTTACAATCAAGTTA